CCATTATTGTTTGACACCGAGTTACATTGCTTAAAACCGTGCGAAACATTGTCGATATAACAATTCATCTATTTCAGACTTGATATTCGTAGGCAATATGTTATTACTATGCCAAGAAATGCTACTTAAATTAAAATTTCCTAGGAAAATAATCTCATCAGACGGTTAAGCATTGTTAATTACATCTACAAGATTATCTAAATGACTTTGATAAACAGCAATATCACTATTAGGCGGAATATAAGATATTAAAAACAAAATAGTTTTATTGTTAGTAAACTTAACACGTAACACAAATTTGCTCCAGATCACTACCAACACCATTCAGATTAACAGCTTTGCTGCAAAAATCCGTTCTGACTGCAAGTAAAACGCCGCCGCCTCTAACAAGGCCCGTAGTATCTGAACAGCGATCTTTTCGATAAACATAATAGTCGTCCCCGAAAAATTCATTCGAAGAAAAATTTGCATTTAACCAAGTCTCAGTTATAGCTATAACATCGAAATCATATGATAAAACAATGAGATGAAACTGTGAGGATTTCGTACGCATTCCACTCGCATTGTGATAATGTAAAGGATAGTTTGGAGTTGAGGAGTAATTTGGTTTGGCAGATTCATTCACGTTACTGATTCTGCAACTTGGGCGTTTTGAAAAAATTGGAATGGGCGCACCTTAACGTTTACTGGCCAGAACGCAGAGCTTAGCAGTTTATTATAGTCTGATGAAGAGACACCCAGCTTGAAATTAACTCTTACTAATTTCTTCAAAGAGTCGGCAGGAAGGTCTTTTTTAATAAGCTTATAGCAAGAGAAACAATCGATGCATGTTTGCCAACAAAATTTATTATGTCATTTTCGTTGACAGAGGGCTTAAAAGACGACAAATGCAACCATTTGAGCGGTACAACAACATCCAATTCTTTACTGGGATTACTACCAACAACGCTGGCACTCTTTTTTTTATCTTTCAGTACACCAGCACCAGAAGTTTTGTCGTTAGAAAGTGCATTAGCACTAACGGATGACTCGTTATTATTTCTCTTAGCAGCAGCAGATCGGAGAGCGCTCGTAGTTCCAGTATTACTAGCAACAACAGTGTCAGCAATAGAAGCATTGACGTTAGGAAGTGTATTAGTATTAGCAGATGTTTGCTTTTTATTACTTTTAGCAGTGACGATAGAACCAGAAACAGCATTCGCATACGATAATGGTGTCGTATCAATTACATCAGGAGTAGTAACGTCAATAACACATGAAAAGGCAGACGAAGCGCAAGTACTGTTCTTTTTGGTAGTGAGCATAGTCGAAGATGACATGTTATCTAAAGCTGGCTTCTGCTTATTAGGATGAGCCGCAATTGGTTGTGATTCCACAATAGGCTTTTTGTTATTATAGATGGCACTAACAACATTACAAAGCTCTTTAATCTCAGAGGTGAGCGAGGCAATTGCTTTGTCTTTATTGCGGCTGCTCTGTTTAATAGCAAGCAGTTCGGAATGAGAATTTTTACCTATCTTCATTAGATTCGTTTTAGCTTCATGCAAAGGAGTTATCAGCTGAAGCATTCGGGCATTCTCAGCACGAAGAGTGGTGATCTCTTTGGACAAAGATAACAAGGTTATTTGATGTTTACTGTTCTCATTAGAAGCATCACTCTGCTTTGCAGAGGTAAATGAATTCGGCTTGGGCTTTATTCAAGTCGATTTGATATTATTTGACATATTTGCAGTATTCTCTTCATTATAAATGAAGAGTGAAGGAGGCGAACGTAAAGAGCTCCGACGTATATCAGCGCAGACCTTACAGAAGAAGCTGTTATCTGTATTGAGCATAAATTCAGCATCCGACGGCAAAATACCAACACAATAGGTATGAGAAAGTTCGTTGCACTTCGCGCACTGCACTTTCGACTGGCCGCGATCAACTTTTTGGCCGCAACTACAAGGGATAATATGATTTCTGATTGTATTATTATTTATTATTAGATCATTTATTGAAAGATTTTAGATTGTGTAAAGAGTTACTGTCTCTAAATTGTAGTACACTTGAACCATTGCAAAGTAACCAATATATTAATAGTAACTTTCACTGACACAGTAAGGCGATTACGAAGAGCGCAAGAAAAACACGCCCGCACAACGCGGTTGTTAGATTGATTGATAGCTCCAATGAAAAGTGTATCAAGGTTTCCATTTTTTCGATTTTTACATTTGGCTGCTGTCTCAAATTGCACTGAAGAGATTGATGGATGACATTGGGCCGACCATAAAACATTCGTAGAGTCTCAATCGCATACGACACCGTGCTAGGCAGCATGAGCTTCCCCCGCACTGTTTCTAAAGCAGCACCTTTAAGACATTTTTGTAATCGTATCAGGTTTTTTTGTTCGGTAAATCCGCATCTTTCAGTAGACTGGACTTAATTTGTTATTAATATAGGCCCATCTTCGGGATTTCCGGAAAAAATAGCAAATCTTTGCTCATCACCTGGCGTGACGCGATATTAGAAGAAGAAAGCATAATATCTGCAATTGAAGTTTGCGTATATGGAAAGTAATGCGAAGATAATGGCGGCGCGAAATTGAAAGTGCTGTTGCGTTGTAGGCTTGGAGGACAACCCGTGGTGTTGAATAAATATGCGTGTTGCGCTTGCTGCTTAATAGTAATAGGTCTAATTGCTGGTGGCGCAGCACGTGAAGTTGTCGATATATTTGGTGCGCTAGTTAAAGTGGCTATACTACGCGCGACAATACCACTAAAACGCGGCGCAGCATTTGAAAATATCGATGTGCTCGGCACGTTAACTACACTGGGTATACTATCAGAGAAAGTACCCCTAGAATTTGGCGCAGCATTTGAAAAGAACGAAGTGCTTGGTACCGTAGCTGGGGTGAGCATTGCACTAGAGAAAACGTCACTGGCCTGAGGTGTTACATTTTGATTAGCAGAAAATAATTAGGCATGTTTTGTTGTAATCGCGTAGAAGTAATATTGTTTTGCAGTCCAAAACTAGCAAATCCAGCATTTAAGCTATCTGAAATATTTAAGTTACGAGCACTATTTGCTCTAGCTGCTAATATACTGTTTACTGCAGAAGTGGTTGCAGTAGAATACATTGTAACCTGTGGTCCATCTTCATCCGCCTCATCAATTGCGATGACATCGCGCGTTACACGTGCTTGATTTTGCCGCCTACCTACACGCAAAATTCCCGAGCGTGTACGCAGAGGGGAAATATCAGTTGTTAATATATTACTTTCCCCATTAAGAGAAATGAGCAGCCCAGAAGCCTGGCGTGGAGTGGATGCTACAGTGGGTGCATGTACCTCCGTCAAATGTTCTCCTGTTGGCGTGTGTGCCTCAGTTGTCGCGCGCTCAGCAGAATGTGCTGTGGCGCCTGTCGAAGCGTATGTGCCGGTTGGTGCAGCCACGACGGCGGTATTACCCGAAACAGGTAATGCTTGTGCAACAGGAGCACTTGAGGCAGTTGAATGTGCTGATAACCTACCAGAATTTGAAGCTTGCTCACCTTGATTCTCCATTACCCAATTTCAAATGAGTTTACGTTCGATACTATATTACGTTAGAAATCTGACTTCTAGATTCTTAGATTTTTCGGCTGCAATTTAGTTTGGCATCCCCGGAGTTCCGCATTAAGGTAGCTATGGAACGATAGAGGGAGTTCTCCTGATTGCAAATATATATACTTTTAGCCGCAGGCCTCTAGTTTTTAAGTTATTTGTTGTTAAAGTTTGTAAATTGAACTAACCTCTCGGCGCTATTTCACACAATAAACACTTTATTTATGTACACCCTCCTCAAAATAGTTGCATTAAAACCCCGGCCTGAGATTTCCACTTTAATATACAATTCTTAATTAATTAATTAAGTAAAACGCGTTTATAAATGTCTTCACAAACGTTTGCACATTTCACAAACAAGCAGAAATAACAATGGCTGACAGTAACACAAAATGTATGCTACCATACGTTAAAAAAATACACAAATAAGTGTGTATAATTAGGAAGTATAAGTGTACAATACGTACATATATTGCTCTTATTAAAAATAATAATATTAGGATCGATAGGGGTCTTACTCCTGATCATAACGGTATTATTTTTTTCGGGTGGAAATAATATTTACTGGTGTTATTGTAGTTCAAAGTACACAAATGTAGAAAACGTACATCGTTAATTTGTTAAATAATGAAAATTTTTAATAAAAAATCGCGCGATTTTTTATTACAAATTTTCGGCTGCGGCGCTTTTTCCATAAAAATCAATACTTCGATAAATAATGAAAATTTTTAATAAAAAATCGCGCGATTTTTTATTAAAAATTTTCGCCTGCGGCGCTTGTCAGTTTTTTTATATATATTGGGGGTATTTAACCTCATACCCTCCTTTACTACTAATTCAACGCTGAGCAGGAAAATGGGTACGATAAAAACTATTCTCTTTTATTGTTATTTTCTTAGATGTGGCTGCACTCTTCTAATGTCAGTGTGAAACCATGGTTGAATCAACGGTTCTGTATTCACAATGTGCGTATACATATATAAGTGCGTGATAATTATTAAAACTTACTTAATTTACTAAAAATACATCATAAATGTAAAAAATATGATTACATTTCATTGTGCGGGATTTTAATGTAACTATTTTGCCGAAGTGTCTACATAAATATAGTGTTTATTGTTTGAAATAGCGCCGAGAGGTTAGTTCAATTTACAAACTTTAACAACAAATAACTTAAAAACTATAAGCATCCTGCGGCTAAAAGTATATATATTTGCAATCAGGAGAACTCCCCCTACCCCCCCATAGCCACCTTTTTTTTGTAGGCGGGGGATGCCAAACTAAAATTTTCCCGATTTTTCCAACAAGTATTTTATTTTGAATTTAATCTAGCAATTAAAATTCAATTCAATATTCAACAAATTTTTAAATCACAGGAAAAATGTAAAGGAAAGAAATTCAGTATACTTTGAGCATAATGGAAATAGCGATGACAGCGAAAAATAGTACAAAGAAGAGGACGAAACCCTAAAAGCTCAACGACGGCGATGCATTCTGGGATTTCACGGCGGCGTAACACTCGATTTTATTAGATGCAATATTATAATAAAACCTCTAATGAAAGAAAATAAAGGAAAAGATGATGAACAGCTTAAATATGACGCAGAACATGGAAGACCTTTCGTGGTGTATATTGACAGCAGATGCAAAGACCATAAAAGAAAACCAATTAATGGAATTACCATATCGAACGTACTCTAGAAATTCAACCTGGGTGGAATTGAATGCGCAGAGTCGAAAATGTGCTGCCATCAGAAAGGCACAGACTCG